ATTTCTTTGTGCTTACCAAGAAGATCAAAACAGAATAAATAGCACCAAAAGAAAACATACATTTATTCATTTATTCCAAAATGTGTATTTCATCCCATCTAAGATGACATTGAATGCAAGATGCACCATTACTTATGTCCCACTAAGGAAGAAAGAGTGCTACCGACTGGTTCATGCTGTGCTATCAAGTGTAAGACACATTTGCATTTTTAAACATTTCTTGGTTTTTTTTTTTTTTTTTAGACGGTGTCTCATGATGTTGCCCAGGCAGGTCTCTAACTTCTAGCTCTGGGCAATCTTCCTTGTCCTCCAAAAGTGCTGGGATTACAGGCCTGAACCACTGCATCCAGTGGACATCTCCATTTTATTTTTGTTTTTTTGAGACAGCATCTCACTCTGTCACCTAGGCTGGGGTGCAGTGGCATGATCTCGGCTCATTGCAACCGCTGCCTCCCAGGTTCAAGTGATTCTCCTGCCTCAGCCTCCCAAGTAGCTGGGATTACAGGTGTGCACCAACACACCTGGCTAATTTTTAGTAGAGACGGGGGGTTTCACTATGTTGGCCAGACTGGTCTCAAACTCCTGACCTCAAGTGATCCACCCGCCTCAGCCTCCCAAAGTACTGGGATTACAGGCATAAGCCACCGTGCCTGGCTGACATCTCCATTTTAGATTATGACCCAATGGGGGAGATGCGCATCGTAGACTCAATGAAGCACATATCTCATATATCGTCCTCAAAACCCCTATTCTCAAGGAACTGACATTCTAGTGGAAGGAGACAGACATAAAACAAATAAGTTAATATGTAAATAAGCATAAGTTCAGCTTGTCATCAGCTCCATAAAGAAAATAAATATAGTAATCTGTAGAGACCGAAGAGAGGGGTTTGTTTTAGATAAATCACAAGAAAGGTCCTGAATAGACCTGAGAAATGGCTACGTGTTTTCTAAGGTATCAAACAATACCTCGCTAAGGGAGAGTGTTGAATCACTGTTGCTTCACCAAACGTTCTTGTTTAGAAAGACAGGGGACTGGACCAGAATGTGCATTCACAGACATTTTCAATGAGAGGTGACACTCCCCAAAAGGCATAAATCCTGTTCAGGCACACTCTAGAGGGGTGTGCTTGCTTGCCTGGTGTCCTCAATCAGAACATATGCAAGTTGGGTTCAGCTGGACCTGGTATGACTCCTTGATGACACTGAAGAGGTCCTTTGAACACCAGACTTTAGAAAGAGAAAAGGAGGATTAGCTGAGTGGGGCTGATGAACTGTATGCATTTACCAGAGGCATGGAATGCATAGACACGTGTGACAACGTACAAGTGTCGTCTGAGTATGAGCGTATTATGGTTTGGGAGTCAACTACCAAATCTTGTAGTTCAGGGTCCCAGGAATGGTTAGAAAGGTATTTCCCTTATTCGTTCAGGCTTCTTCATTTTTTTTTTTTTTTTCTTCTGGGTGTTTCTGCAGCATCTTCTCCTTGTCTTTTCTATCTTCAATACTCTCCAGAGACCAGATCCTCATGTATATCTCTCTGGGCCCTCAAATGCCAAAACCATACTCTCCTTCCCGGTAGCACCCCGAGGGGGTGGCCTCGTTCTGGAGAAAGCTACATGGCAAGTTGAAGGAGACTGACTGGGTAAAGCCCCCGTGCCGCTGGCAGAACTGCTGCCACAAAGGGACATGCGTGTCTTGGGAATAATTAGTAGAGGCCAGTTGCTATTGACTTTAAGGATGTTCCTTATGCCTTGATCCTATGTACAACTCTGGAATCTTTGGAGAGCAGCAAAAAAGACTGAGATTGAATTTCCCTCTAATCTGACAGGAGCAGAAATTAACGTTTTCTTTCTTTTATTTTTCTTTTTGAGGCAGGGTCTCTCTCTGTTGCCCAAGCTGGAGGGCAGTGACACGATCACAGCTCACTGCTGCCTTGACCTCCTGGGCTCAAGCAATCCTCTCACCTCAGCCTCCCAAGTAGCTGGGACTACAGACATACACTACCATGCCTGGCTAATTTTTTATTTTTTTGTAGAGACAAGGTCTCACTATGTTGCCCAGGCTGGTCTTGAACTCCAGGCCTCAAGCAATCATCCTGCCTCAGCCTCCCAAAGTGTTGGGATTACAGGCATGAGCCACTGTGCCCAGCCTTTTGTTCTTTTTTTTTCCCCTTTTCTTTTGTTTTTTTCTTTCTTTTTTTTTTTTTTTTGCGACAAGACCTTGCTCTGCCACCCAGGCTGGAGTACAGTGGCACAGTCATGGCTCACTGCAGCCTCTACTTCCTGGGCTCAGGCAAGCCTCTTGCCTTAGCCTCCCAAGTATCTGAGCCTACAGGCATGCACTGCCACACTCGGCTAATTTTTTTGATTTTTAATAGAGACAAGGTCTCACCATGTTGCCCAGGCTGGTATAGATCTTCTGAGCTCAACTAATCTTCCCATCTCGGTCTGCCAAAGTGCTGGGATTACAGGTGTGTCATCCTGCCTGGCCAGAAATTAACTTGATTGAAAGAAAAGAAAAGCTTTTGATATGCTAGCATTTTTGCATGCATGCTTTTGCATGCTAAAGTTTCTATGCCATTTACAGAGATTTCATGATCTCTTCAATTGCTCTAAGTTGTCTCTAAGGTGCAGAAACTCAAGTACACAGACTTCTCAGCTAGAATTTGTAGCTCTAGCAATTCCTTTGTTTATTGCACAAACCTAGCATGTACCAAGACCAAAAATTCTGCCCGCTTGAAGACCAAGGCAGACTCTGGAATTCCTTGTGCTTGCCAATGCCCTTTGACGGATGCCCAGCCCCAAACCCCAGCCTGAACTGCAGGAGGAGGATTTTATGGAGATACATTGGACTTTTCCTGCCTGTATATTAACTAAGAGACTCTTCTGTCACTCTTTTTTCCTGCAATAAACTGATATTCATGCCGGTATCTCTAATCACAAAATTCTCCCTTGGCCACTTGCTGTCTCCACTGGGGCAGAAACGGGAGATCATTTTATTATTCTTCCACTCACCACTATGTGTAGCTCCCACATCCTTAAAACCCTGAGCACTGTGTCTTCCCAGATGTGTCTATGGAGGTATTCTCAGAAGTCTGCATGTTCCAGACAGTGTTTATGTGTCATATCAGTTAGGATCCCATTCAGCTGGAATCACAAGCAGCTCACCTCACTGAGCTCCGGCACACTGCTCATCTCATATACGAAATGTCCGGGAGAAGCAGCCCAGGGCTCAGTATTGCCATCGGGCACCCAAGTGATTTCTTCTCTCTGCTCCACTCTCAGCTTGAAGCCTTCACCCTGCTGTGGGTCTCCCCCTGGCCTCAGCATGGCTTGCTGCGCCCCAGGTCTCATATCTGAATTCCAGGCAGAAAGAGGAATGAAGGGGGAAGGGGCAAAGGGATTTCTCCTTGTGAGCTCCTGCCTTTTCATCTGGAAGGGATACCATCCCCAGGAGCTTATGCCTATATCGCATTGGCCAGAGCTGTATGTCCTCAGCGCACTGGCTGCAAGGGGGACTGAGAAACTGGGTATTTGGGAAATTGGTTTTTTTCAGCTAAGCATATTACCATCACCCCCAAAACTCAGGTTCTCCAAGTATCGGGGAAGGGGAGACTGGAGCTGTTTCTGTCACGTTTGCCTTCAGGTGATAATCTTGAAAATCCCCATCATATAAGCATTTCCTGGACTCTATTGATGACCAATATAAAACCAACATAAAGCTAATAGAAATGATTAGTCTTTACAATTGTCACAGCCTACCGAGTAGAACAAGAACTGTCTTAAAATGCAAATGGTGCATTTGCATTAAGTAAGGGCCCAATAATCCCACAGCTAACTGAGAGACAAAGTGTTGAGAGAGCTTGTACAGAGAAGATCCATGAAAGAAGGAAAACATCACGTGGCAAATGAGATTTGAGAAACTAGGCTGTAGCAATCGGTACCATATTAATGTTGGAGAGAAGAATTCTTCAGTAAAGAAATATCATGCATTACTTTAAACTACTGCTGTTATTTCTAACGTTATTGGAACAGTAGAGCTTTAAGCTCTACAAGAGTTTATACTTCATTTTCTGTTTCATATATAGTTACTCTAAGCCAACATGGCGAGTTCTCAAAAAATCTCTTTTCCAGCTGGGCATGGTGGCCCACGCCTGTAATCCCAGCTCTTTGGGAGGCCAAGGCAGGTGGATCATCTGAGGTCAGGAGTTCAAGACCAGCCTGGGCAATATGGTGAAACTCCGTCTCTGCTAAAAATACAAAAATTAGCTGGGCGTGGTGGTGCATGCCTGTAATCCCAGCTACTCAGAGGCTGAGGAAGGAGAATCACTTGAACCCAGGAGATGGAGGTTGCAGTGAGCCGAGATTGCACCACTGGACTCCAGTCTGGGCGACACAGTGAGACTCTATCTCGAAAATATATATATGTCTTTTCCTTTAAAGGGGTTTATCACATAATTCTGAGAAACATCAGTTTAATATTTATTTAATCAATCCAATTTTTTCACTTTAATATTTTAATTTATTGTTCTGTGTTTCTGACTCTGTATCGTAATAGCACAATTCCATTATTTAACACTGGCGGTGATACTGCTCATAGTTATCAGTAGTGAGCAAACAATAATCAACTGTCTTCAAATATCTTTGATTCTTTGGTTTTTGTGCTGAACTCCTCACAGAGCTGTTGTATCCAATGCCCCGGCCTTGTCTGTGCTCTTAGCCATCATTCATAGGTGCGTGAATATGGTGCATTTGCATTAAGTAAGGACAAATCTCTTCTTTCAGGCAGGACTTTTCTCTTAGTCAGAGGTTAGGTCTGGACTTTGTGTCCTCATTTCACACCGCGATTGATTAAGAAGACACTCGTTTATTTGCTACGGTGGCCAGTCCCAGACAGGTGCTCATAGATATTTTCTGAATGACCAGTTGACTACAACCTGTAAATGTGACCCTTTGGCCTGTGTGGTAGGAGAATGCAGGTATAGTCCTCTTAAGAGATAAGTTGTATCCTTCAGCTTACAGGTAGACTGAACTAGACAGACTGGGAGACACAGAGTGTTGAGCTCATGCTAGGCACTTAATAAATATTTTGTTAAGGCCGAGCGCGGTGGCTCATGCTTGTAATCCTAGCACTTCGGGAGGCCAAGGCGGGTGGATCACCTGAGGTCAAGAGTTCGAGACCAGCCTGGCCAACATGGTGAAACCCCTGTCTCTTCTATAAATACAAAAATTAGCCAGGCGTGGTGGCATGCGCCTGTAATCCCAGCTACTCCCGAGGTTTTTTTTGTTGTTGTTGTTAAATGAATGAATGTAGAGATATGACCCAGACAAAAATAGATAAAATTTGCTTTATTGATTTGATCAGACTTAATGAATATCTCTTATACCTGAGCTGTGTGTAATTCCTCGAAACCTGGCAGATAGGTAAAGGCGATTGTCCGGAGGAAGTAAACAAGGCCAGGCGGAATTAGGAGACACTCAGACCAGATGGGCATCCTTCTGTGTGTCCTCCACATGCTTATTCCAGGGGCCAGCTGCCTTCCTCATGTGGTGGTCCCAGGGCTCCAGACTGGGGCGGAGAAGGGGAGGCCTGAGGACACATCATGCTGCATGGTCCTGCAGAGGTGGACAAGGGGTCTGCTTTTTCTAGAACCAACTGTAGTCACTGCTGGGGTCCTCTTTATGGTGTACTCTAGTCCACAACATGGGGATGATAAATAACCCTGGTGGATGGATTTAATGGAGGCAGGAAACATTCTTTCTAGGGAGGAAGAAAATGGTTTGCTTTTAAGACTCTGTTCTTCTCTTAACCCTGGTGGTTTGTAATTTATCACTGCTGCCCAGCCTGTTTCCCCAGCTCTGGGAGTCTGCTAGATATCACTGTTTTCTTCAGATTCTGACACTGATGATTAGAGATTAGTACTTTCTTTTTTGTTGTTGTTGTTTTTTGTTTTTGTTTTTTGAGATGGAGTCTCGCTCTGTCGCCCAGGCTGGAGTGCAGTGGCCGGATCTCAGCTCACTGCAACCTCTGCCTCCTGGGTTCAAGCAATTCTCTGCCTCAGCCTCCCGAGTAGCTGGGATTACAGGCGCCCACCACCACGGCTGGCTAATTTTTTTGCAGTTTTAGTAGAGATGGAGTTTCACCATCTTGGCCAGGCTGGTCTTGAAGTCCCGACCTCATGATGCACCCACCTCGGCCTCCTAAAGTGCTGGGATTACAGGCGTGAGCCACCGCACCCTGCCAAAAGCAGCCTTAAAAAAACAAAAACAGAAAAAAACTTAAACCATTGAAGTTTAAACAAAAATGCATTTTGATAAATGGAACTTGGGAGGAATAGTAATATAGTTCTTATTTTTAAAACTTTTCGAGTTAAAGGTTTAAAAGTCAAAAATCTAGCAAGTTTGGGAGCACAGACTTTCCTCTTACTTCCCACACCCTGAGCCTTTTGAGCCATCTCTTGTTTTAAGTCTCTACACGAAATTAAGAAGGTGTTAACGCTAGTGACCTCTCTGGGCCAATGCCTGGTTTGAAGGAAGGAAAGCGTCTTTCGTTCTAGAGCAAGAGTGACTGACTTTTCATGGTGATCCACATGATCAGAAATCCAATTTTTTACGACAACAGCGAAGTCCAGAAAGTCCTCCCTCTACTGGTGAATATGAACATGACTCATGCCTGAGTCAGGTACATGTGGACGCTTTCATTCCATTTTCCTCTTGTCAGCATCCTTCAGAATGCTCTAGTTTCATGGTGTCATTTTAGCAGAATTAAATGTGAACACCTCAACTGTATCACGCATTACTTTCGGCTTTACTCACACTTACAAACTGACCCAAAGCTGTGGATTTGCATCTTAGACCGGGGTCAGCGCACAATGGCATCAATGACCGGCAAGAATTAACAAGGCTTTAATGACCTGCCCAATTGACTAATCCTGCAAGCCGCCACTTGTTAAAATTTCAATATGCACTTAATCCTTAGGTCAGGATGGCCAAAAAGGACCAGCCCTTCCCCCTCAAGCAGCAGGTCAGAAGCAGAAAGCTTGGGTTTTAGATCAGATGTCAGCGAGAAGAAGCCACAATGTGGGGTCCCCCAGATGACCTCCTTTTCTTTCTGATCAGACTGACCAAAAATCACAGATTACCTTGACCATTCTGTGACCCAGCCAGCTGCAGGTTTTCCCCAGCAGCCTTGAACTCAAACCAGGGCCCTGAACACTCCCAGGCACTAACAAAGGTATCTAGGTTGTTGCCCCAAACATTGAAAGAAACTGGCTCCAGCCCTGAGTCAAATTCCCTAAACCCTCATATAACCTCCATCCCCTGACCCCCTTGCTACAGACATGCCGAGGCAGAACAGCCCTTTTCCCTCCCTGTTGGCAGGGAGGACTGCTGCAGCCCTCTGTAAGTTCCCCTAATAGATGCTTTGAATTGATCACCCTGACATCTGAGCTTCTTTCTTTGGAATCCCAATTGGCCCCATCTCTGGAGGGTTTGGGCCACTCCCTGTGGGAATTCCCCTGCTGCTGCTTTTGTGATGATTCCAGCTGCGAGTTTGGTGAGATGAAACACGCAGGGCTGGCGTGGAATTCTTTTGTCTCCTCTCGTAGAAACAACAGGGACCCTCAGAGACAGAAAAATACCCAGAGCTCCTCTTTGAGAGCTGGTACAAACTGTCTCTTTGGTATAGAGTAGTGGCGGCTCATAAAAACCCACTCGATTTTGGTTTTAAAAAAATCTGCAGAACTTCAGAGTGGGTAGTAATTAACACAAGAATGTGTAATTTCCGATATGAGTGGACCACCCAGAAGGTTTCGAATTCATCCACTCCTGTGGTCCCCAGTTCCTTGTTTTCTTAGGAAAATTTCCTCTTTTACATCCATCTGTACCTAATGGTTCATGCTTTGCTCTGACTCCCACTGTGTCTTACCATGTTTGTGTTCTTATGTTTCTCACTCTCAGCCTCTCTTCCCTTTCTCTCCTTCCCGTCTCTCACAGCTTCCTCTGTCCCCGGTGCTTTCTGCATCTTTTGTGCCAGGTGCTCTTTTCCTTTCTCTCCACTTCTGTCTTTCCAGGAGCCTTTGCAGAGCTCTCTCTGTGTTGGCTTCCTCATGCCTGACGATTTCTTGGGCTTCTGTGCCTCAGCTCTCCATGCCCGCCCCTCATCCTCAGATGGCTTCGTGCCCGTGATGCCCTGAATATTCCCAGAACAAATACTCACCACAATGAAGCCCAATCCAACAAAGAGTGCAACAGTAACCGTGGTTGCAGTCAGGGATATGAGGATAATTCCCATGGATGTCAGGAGCCTGGTAGGTTTCACTGCTGTGACTGAAGTAGTTCGCAGAAGGTGAATGTCACCATGTTTAGTGATTTCATCTTCTGTGGTCCAAGAGCCTGCAGTGACAGAGTCCTTGGTGGTCCCTGGGTCTGCAGTGATGTGGTCCTCAGTGGTCCTTCCATCTGCAGTTACATCATTTTCTCTTATTCTTGAGTCTTTAGGGCTGGTCTCTGGGTGCTTAGTGGAAATGCTTTGACTTAGTCCTACTAAAAAGTAATTCCATTGAACGTGAATTGTTGATGGCCTATCCTCAT